CGGAATGACACGAGGCACGTGCTTCATTTAGTTGAAAGCATCCACACTGTTTGCTGTTGTCTTCCACAGTCACTTGCCCCGACCTGGAGCCTCCTGTGAACGGCAGAAAGCTGGGCAAGGCTCTGCTCGTCGGCCATGAAGTGCACTTCATCTGTGACGTGGGCTTCGAGCTGCTGGGCTCCGAGACGAGACAGTGTAAAGACTCGCTCAGCTGGAGTGGACATCAGCCCGTCTGCAAAGGTGTCCGCTCTTAAACACTCCTGTAGTCCATCTAAAGCCGCCTCAGGGCCGTCTCTCAACAACGGCTCGGTCTAGGAAACCAGGTGCATTTTCCAGTTGGTATTTCATTTGGTTCTATCAGAAAAATAATGTCTTTAAATGCCATCTCAAGTAGAAGTACACACATTCAGACCAATGTATGCGATACACCTGCTTCTAATGAGCATGTTTGGCCGTTGAAGTGACTCCACTGAACACATCTTAATGCTGTACATTGATTTGCTGCCGTGGGTTAGTGAAGGTCCTTTTCTCTTCCAGCATGTCAACACAAAGTGAAGTCCTAACAGAAATGATTTACAGAGTCTTGTATGAACTTGCCTAACCCTATAAGAGCAGACCCGAAGCCCTGTTTAACGCACACATGCAGGTAAGTAGACTTAACTTTTAGTGAGAAGATGTGATAACGATCAGTCAAAGACGATGGAGACAATGAAGGACATGAAGAAGATCAGGAGCTTAAGAGTGTCTTCCCTTCCGAGACTAGAGCATCTCTGAGCGTCAGCGGTGAGTAAATGCAGTCCATGATTGGTTGTGTTTGCAGGTGGATATTATTAGATGTGATTTGACCTATTATTCCAACAATGTTTCATGTTGGATATATAATCCATGGAAATCTAAATAACTGGTAACTAGTAGGAACAGTGACCTGACGTCTACAGCTTCTGCGTGATGTCAGTAGGGTTCAGTAACTCACTGTGCGTTCAGTGTAAAGTACACTAGTGCAACATAATTAGACTGAGACTGTCATTAGACTGTCATTTACCCAACCTCATGGTGTTCCAGACCAGTATGCATATCTTTCTTCTACAAAACACAAAGGACTGGTCAAGGTTAACTTTTATTGAATGGACAAAAAAAGCTAAAAAGTCTTTGGAATGACATGAGAGTGAGGAGATGATGACGAAAGTGTTATTTTGTTGCGATAATCTATTTCAAAACCCTTTAATTGTCGAGTTTTACAGGCTGAGTAGTACTCTCTACGTCCCTTGTGTGAAGTTTGAAGATCTTACTTAGAGCCGGTGGAAACCTTCCCTCTATCTCTCTCTGTTCCACACTGGAGACAGCTTTCTCTTGAAAACCTGTAATCACTGGAAATACATACTCTATAGTTTTATATGACTCTTTACATTTGTATTCAAAGGTGCTGTAAGCATGTTTTCAATGGACAAAATTGTGCCAGATATTACCAAAATCCCGTGGACAGTCCCTTCGAACGGTCTAGAATTCAGCAGTCTGTGATTCAGCAGACTGTGGAGAGTCTTTGCTTTTCCAACATGTTCATTCTGCTGTGCACAAAATGAGGAGCATATAGACATTGATTACTACACAAAGCCCAGAGCTGAACCCCTAACCCCATTGAGATGAGCGATGAGCGAGTGATGATGAGACGAGTGAGGCCTGACTGTTGAATATTTCATTTCCAAAGCATGAACTCCTGCGACTCTGCGACAGCTTCATTCTCCCACTCGATGTTGAAGAAGGGTTTGCTCCAGTGAGGTCAAGGGCTCGCGCTGGGTTCTCCAGTTGATCCTGAAGGTGTTCGTGAGATTCTCTGGGCTTTGGACAGATCCGCCCAGTTCTTCCACACCAATCTTAAACCACACGTATATGAACTTATTTTGCGCACAGATCCGTTGACATGCTGGAGCAAACGAAGACCTTCTCCAAACTGCTGAAGCACAGGATAGTGTAGAACAGTGATCTCAAACTCAATCTCTGCACAGTTTTGCTCCAACCCTAATCAAGACACACGTGATTCAGATCCATTGAGCTATTCAAAGTCTTCAGGATTACTAGAAACATCGTCACAGGTGTGAATTGGAGCTGGTTGGAGCTTAACTGTGCAGAGCTGTGTCCCTCCAGGAACTGAGTTTGAGATCACTGGTGTAGCATGTCGTCATATTGTGAAGCATCAAGACTTCATTCATTCATACCTCGCTTACGGCAACTTGACCTCCTCAGTTGTGGTTTTGCTTTTAGAATCTGAATCCTCAGTGTCTTTCTCTCCTCTCTCAGATATCGACGAGTGTCTGTCGTCACCGTGTGCGAACGGAGGATCCTGTACAGACGAGGTGAATGGATTCAGCTGTTCCTGTGCCCCGGGCTGGGCCGGCCCGGCCTGCGACTCTCCAACACCCACATGTTGGTTTGCATTTCATCAGAAGCTTTTTGGGGCACATTTACAGGCCCTGTTGTTGAGATGAAAAGATGTTACCAGGCCTGTCAAAGAATGAACTTCTGTACTGCCAGAGTAAGACACACACCTGCAGTGGCCCCAAACTGCTGTAACAGGCTATATTTTAAGAGGACAATTATGTGTCTGTGTACTTTGGCAAAACTGTGAAATGTTGTGTTATACCCTTGAAAATCAATTTACAGCTTATGTTCAATCTCCACATGCCTAAAAAATGGCTACAGATATGTCTCCTGGTCAATCAAAGGTGAAGTATGATCCCGTCACATCACGTAAGGCTAGCGTCCGTTCATTCCCTCAAACCGAGGCCATGTGAGATTATATTGGGCATGTTCAGCAGTCCTTCATCTGGGGCTGTAGAAACATTAGAAACCTTCACCTTACATCACACTTATTAATTAAAAGATATTGAAAATCCCAAAAGTTGCTGTTTGTTTGAATACTTGCCCAAAAACACATTTTAATTTAATGATCTAATCAACATTCCCTCTAGTCCGTGGCGGATCCTGGCCGAAGTCAGTTCTGCAACTCCACTGATTCTGACATCCCAGTTCAACTACACAATATCGAGTCAGAGTCACTGGTGCTGATCAACATGCTCTTTGACGGTTTCAAGACAGCACACAATTGCTCAGCTCGTGTTTTTACTTGTACAAGAACTTGCATTTGTTTATGTAAAATTGTCAGATTGTATTGTTTGAATATATTCTCGCTGAGTACTTCTGATATTATTCATTACTATTATTGAACATTATTTCTATACAGCACTCTTGTGCATTGAGACGTGTTGAGCGTAAAGCAGGCTTCATGCTCTCTGGTGCACAACTGACTCTTGAAATCGGATCTCTCTGCAGTTTTTATGAACGTAATGAACACGTCCCCTGATGGCGAAGCCTCCTCCTTCCCACAGTCCCGCTCGTCCGCTTTCCTCCGCCAGCCCAGGTGTAGTCAGATCCAGGGAACCACACACTGCACCTGTGAGCCGGGGTTCTTCATCTCCGGCCGGGAGAACAGCGTCTGCACAGGTGCGCTTCTTCAGCCATCACTGTCACCAAACACACTCAAGGACGACACTGTTTATTAGAGGTCAAAGACTGGAATCCCATCTACAGAGACCCCTGCTGGTCAAGCTCAAACTCAGGTCTTTGATGGTTTTGGTCTCTGTCTTTGGGACCAGCGATGCTGATCTTTTCAGTAGGGACACAACGGCTCTTCTTCCGTCCAGTGACGTGTTTGTTTTAACCTGCTGTTCCTGTATGTTTTCTCCTAGACATAGACGAGTGTAAGCTGTTCCACACGGGCCAGGCGGGCCGTCTCTGCTTACACACGTGTGTGAACACTGCCGGCGGATACAGATGCTCCTGTCCTGCCGGTTACAACCTGACCCGTGATGGACGGAACTGCAAAGGTCATTCGGTAACAGCAAAAGATGCACTCGGGACACTCTTCGGCCTCCATTCTGACCCTGTTTTTCCCTCCAGATATCGACGAGTGTGGATCCGGGCAGAACAACTGCACACGTGACCAGCTCTGCATCAACACCTATGGGGGCTTTCAGTGTGTTAAAGTGGAGTGTCCCCCGATGAGGAACGCCAGCTACGCCAAAACCTCTCCAACGTAAGCAACAGTCTACGAAGCATCTTTATTTTTTTAAAGGGATAGTTTACCCAAAAATTTAAATTAGCCCATGATTTACTGACCCTAAATCATCCTAGTGTATATGACACTCTCCGTTCAGAAGAATTGGGGTGAACTATCCCTTTAAAACAAAGAAACCTGTGAAAGTGTTGTGCTCTCAGGCGTTGCGAGAGGAACCCCTGCCCCGGGTCCAGCCGGACCTGCTCTCAGGCGCCCGGCTCCGTGTCCCACCATCACCTGTCGGTGGTGTCCGGGCTCTCGGCCCCTCGGGTCATGTTCCGGGTCTCCGCTGTGAGGATGATCGGAGACTCGCTGAAGTTCGGTCTGCTGGAAGGCCGAGCTCGCCGGTTCTTCACCGTGAGGCGCTCAGACCGTCAGACGGGGGAACTCCTGCTGACCCGTCCGGTTCTGGGCCCGGCCACACTGGACCTGCAGGTGGAGATGAGCGAGCTGGAGCGCGGAGAACTGCTGGGCCGATACATCACCAAAATCACCATCTTTGTCTCACCATACGAGTTTTAGAGGCAAATACGGCCAATGGAAACACAATGGAAGCAATAACTCCCATATATCGCAAAAAAGTTTTCAAAAAGGAAGGACTTTTTTGATTGAAGTATTTATAGAGGAACAAGTTTTAGTTGCATAACATCGGTTAATGGAAACGCCATATTTTGCAATAGTTTTTTATCGACATTTAGACGATATTGCGAAAGTTGTGCCAAACTAATAATCATATGAGTTCAAGTTCTTTATGAAATATAAAGAGTAATTCAAGCTAGTGCATAACAATAAATACCCTTGATGTCAGAAAATGGAGACAGAACTAAAAAATAAAGCCAATCAACCCAAACGAGGAGTCATTTCTTGACCTACATTTTTATTCAAGAAAATCAATGAAACATTTGTACAATATAAATACAAAGGCAAGATGTCCAGAAGGATATTCTTTATAGTGTATAATAGTCCGTTTAGTCCTGATGTCTTCATCTAACATTTAAAAACACAACAGGTACAAGCAAAGCGTAAGGTGCAAATCCATCTCTTCAGGATCTTCCACGACAGAGCAGTTTATTCCCACACAAACACATACACACTCACACTCACACTCACACACACACACACACACACACACACACTCAGCCTGTGCCTCACCCTTCACACGGTCAAACGCTGCACTTTATAAAAGCATCGAGACTCTTTTCAGCCTACCAGTCATTTTTCATCAACGTCACAAATCATTCACATGATCTCAGAGCCTCATTTAGTCTGGTATTTTTATTACAAAATATTGTGGCACAAAGACACACGAGGAAATACTTCTCCAGTTCTCACCAATTAAAAACCAATGCTTCAAATGGACGTTGATTGTCTCGTGGGTCTGATATCCATGCAAACCCCCTTTATTGTAAACCATGTGACAAACCTCAGAACAGGCCAATCACTCAAGAAGAAATAACTGGACAATTCACAGGAACAGACGATTCAATAGAGTTTAGCTTTTGAATTTTGCTTTCAGATAACTCTAATGCCAAACAAATGCCACTTTAGCTGTCGAAACCAGCAACTTTGATGCACATTAATAAAGGTTTAGAAATTCATCAATCAAATCCATCAACTGTTGGAAAAACAACATTTACACACACACAGACACACACACTCATGTCTACTTGCTCTGGAAGTTGCTGAGCTCCTCAGACTCTCTCTCTCTCACACACACACACACACACACACACACACACACACACACACACACACACACACACACACACACACTCATGTCTACTTGCTCTGGAAGTTGCTGAGCTCCATCTCCTCCCTGCGCCGCTTCTGCTGTGTGAAGAGCGAGCTGAAGGGGTAGAGCTTGGCTTTAGCGGGGAACTTCTGGCCTGCGATGTCCACCTCGTAGTCTCCGCGGTTGATGAAGTCGGGGGTGACGGGGGCCGGGGAGCCGTCGGGGTTCTTGGCGCTCAGGAAGCCCAGACACACGTGCCGCTCCAGGCTGTAGCTGTAGGCGCTGCTGGTGGTGCCGCCCACGAGCTCCCCGCTCCGGTACACCGGCTCACCCCACCAGGGCCACACATCCAGATCCCGGTCGTGCTCCTCCAGAACCAGCATCACCAGCCGCCGCCTCACGCCCTCCACCCGCTGCTGGAGCAGAGCGTCCCGGCCCAGGAACCCGGTGTCCTGCGGGAGAGAGAGGTCAGTGTGTGAGGAGGCCTGTGTCCTGAGAGAGGTCAGTGACACACAGATTATGAGGGTCGTTTCAGAGGTCAGTGCCCGGTTGGATAAAGCACCTTAAGTGTTATTTGCCCTTAAAAACGCTCTAGGTTTCCCTTAAACTAAAGGGTGTTGCAAATAATAACCGTTAAGTGTTACTAAAGGGTTTCTTATAGGTGAAGCGCCACACACTCTAAGAAAGTCCATGAAGGATTTTCAATATTTGAGTAAAACATCAATTTGAGTTTCGTCTTGTCTTTCATATTTTATTTTATTTTTTGTTTTCCTTACCCATGTTATGCTGTTTTCTGTGAAACGTACCGTAAAATGTGTAATTTGTAAATCTGATATTTGATTTTAAAAATGAGATTGTTATGCTTAAAAATACAGTCCAAAAGCATTTTTCACAGAATTAACCCTGTGTTTACTGTGTGAATAAGGGGAGAAGCATCAGCTCAGACAGGAAGGAAAAACAACACCTGTGCTGACTGAAGAAAACGAGAAGAATAAAATAATATAATAATATGGCATAATAATAATAGGAAATTTACAATAACAGAAACAGCAAATTAGGTAAATGATATTCAGCTCGACAAAGGGTTCATCAGCGTTGTCCAGCAGACACGATTACACGATCAAGCTCTGGATTACCAAAATATGAATATCTCCTGCAGTGTAAACGTCCTGAGCTGTGGCAACTCTTTACCAGAAAGGGCAGTAACCGTAAACTAGACGTGGTTTAAGAACAGCATGCTGGGATGTTGCTCAGTAGCAGTCAGGGCATTCTGGGTATGTGTGAGCGGTCTGATGTAAAGAGCTGAACTCAAGAGAGCCAGAGACTCACCTTATCAAACTTGACCCTGAACTCGCGGCCGCACTCGAGCGGTGTGGTGAAGGAGTCCAGGTCCTGACCCCAGAAGGCGAAGAACTTCTCGATGCGCAGACTGCGTAAAGCGTAGTAGCCCGCGTTACGGATCCCATACTTCTGCCCCACTGACATCACCTCGTTATACACGTGCAGTGCATACTGGGAACAGGAGAGCAAGATCTCAGGGCTTTGGGTCACAGAGAGGCTGAACGTTTACTCACGTCCCATGTGACGGCTCCTTATGATACAGTCAGTAGCTGCGTTTACATGGACACTTTCATTCATTCCCACTGTTGACCCGAGTGCAGCGTTTGCATGAACGCTAATGCATACAGTGATCGGGTTGATGGGCGTGTTTATGTCACAAGCTTCTGATCGGGTTTAATCGTTTGACATGCGCACACTGCACGAATACAGAGGTCCATCCTCCTTTGCTTTAAAACGCAGAAATCTCTAAATAAAAGCTTAATATTTCTCTATTCCGGGTCCAGACGAGCAGTGAACCGTCGAGCCGCGCGGCTGTATTCATCGTCAGAGCCCAAACCGGTTCTGTGGACGCGAGCGCCGTCCTCTCCACCCCACACACGAGGAGCGCTACGAGAACTTCAGGAGGACGGGACACTCATTTATGACACTATAACCAACGGGAGGAACAGCTCATTCCACTCGTCACGCGTCATTACGCCATTCCCTTTCAGTCTCAGTTCTCAATCCCATCTCGATCGCATTACAAAAGGAATAAACCCCGCTTAATGTGGAATGAGATTTGAATCCGATCTGGCCGATTGTGCGGCGGGTCCGACTGCAGTGGGATTATTCGGGTCCGTGGAAACACAGCTAATGTTTGTACCATGAGCACAGTTTTATATCAGTAATGATGATGTCAGTGAGGGTCCGTGTGTTTACCTCTATGGGAATGTACAGCATGAAGCCGGGCTCTCCGGTGTGTGTCATGCTCATGACCCTGATGCCGTTGGCGTATCCCACACTCATCTCCTGCAACACACAGTCAGGCGTGAGGAAACCGCATCAAACACTCGCATTTCCAGAACGCCTACAAACGCCTCAGGATCCTTTACCAGACGACCCAGAATGCACTGCGCTCTGGTCACGCCGTAACACTTGGTTTTACAGTGCTCTTGTTACACGTTACATGTCCTTGCTTCAGTAAGTTCATAACTGCATGCAACTAACCCTAAAGTAAGTGCATGTTGTTCATTAATATTACCCAGCACTTCAGTGTTTAATTACACAGTAACGAGGACACATTAAAATAAAGCGCCGAATAAAATAAATACTGGGGTTAAACTCACTCGTATATCTAATGATACAGATATAAAAAATGTAAATGAAAGAGGTTCAAATGTTGACATATGTCATCACTGAGGCGTGATTTTATAGACCAATGTGATCATATTTATAAAGGCTGTGAATCCGGTTTTGTTTTCAGACAGATTAATAAAAGTACAAGCGTTAATGGGCTCGTCAACGGCAGCTGTTGCTAGGCAACAAGAACAGTTCTTGTAGGCGGGACCGTCCCATTTAACATCGCCCCCCCGTCCCTCGAAGGATCTGATCTGGGACCAGTGCTCGTGACCATCAGCCCATCACAGCTGTGAGGAGCACGAGCGTCTGAGGGATTGATGATTAACGGCGGCCGGCGACTACAGGCAAACTACTACAGCAAACACATCATCTGAAACACAGCTGCACTGAATCAAGGAAAACATTTGTTTTAAAATAAATCCCTTTACAATAGTCTGTCTGTCTCTCGGGGCATTAGACGTCCTCTAAAACTCTTGCTGTGATGCTGCATCCACATGGCGATCGCTAGACATCTCTGAAGAGTCCGAGCCTCTCTGAGCATAAGCTCTTCTCTGAACGAGATTTATTTGTTTTAACAACGCACGACTCCTCAGACGTTTATTTTGTTTTGTTTTACAATATATTGTGTTGGAAATGCTGCTCATTAGTTATGACTGCTATTAGGCATGCCTGGTAAGCAGAAGGGCTCGGCTCACCTTACAGAAGAGCGAGGGGAAGTGCTCCGGGGTCATGGACACGTACGACAGCTCCGACAACACGTCCATGGCTCGCGGGCCAATCAGATTCAGAGCTACGGGTCACATGACACCGATTACTGCATCACACACACAAGCCCAGGCCGTAAAGGCTCATTTCTGACATTTACTCCCCACTTCACTTATAAGACTGACAGACACGATATTCACACTGTGCTGAGAAATCACTTCTACTGAAATGCTTTCATAATTCTTACAAATAATAAAAAGGAAAACTAGCTTAGCTTTGATGGAAGTTTTCCTGATTTAAAACACAATGTTAGTTGATTTGGTACCGGTGTACTTCCAGCTGACGTCCTCCAGGTGGAGCTGCGGGTCGTTGGGCATGTGCTTCTTAATCCAAGACCAGCAGTGAACTTGCTGATCCGTGGGCGAAATGATGAAGAAACTGCAGGCAGAACCGGATGATGTCAATAATTCAGCGCTTTGAGTACCCAGAAAAGCACTGTATAAATGTAACAAATTATTATTATTATTATTATGAATTAATAATAATGAACTGATCTGGATCTAACTGAGCATGAGCCGAGTCAGGTGACCTTCGCATACGCAGCTGGATCTGCTGTCCTGGTTAATGCCATATAATGTGAATGTTTTAAACTGCGTGTCAAAAGCCCAGCTTTAAGGGAAGTGTCCGCTTGCGAACCTGTTTTTGCTGATGCGCACCACGCTGCAGTCGTTCTCGTAGCCGCCTCTCTCGTTCAGCATCCCCGTGTGCACGATGTGTCCGACCGGCACGTCCAGGTCATTCGCACACAGACGCTGGAGCAGGACTAGGGCCTGGTCGCCCGCAGACTGAAACACACACACACACACACACACACGCCATCTGAAGACTGGCGAAGGTGGTATATGGAAGCCACCGAATAAGAAAATAAAAAGGTCATGGCAACTTTTTAACTCACAATTCAGATTTTTCCTCTGAGAATTGTGAGATAAAAAGTCAAACTTTCACCTTTCTTATCTTATTCCCTACTGAAACGCCGGTGGAGGGATGAACGGACTCACCGTGAGCTCAAACTTGGTGAAGGAGGACATGTCGATGACACACACCGCCTCCTTGCAGCACTTCACCTCCGCTCCCACGATATCAAACCAGTCGGGCTTGTAGAAGGTCTTACTCTGATCCAGCGCCAGTAAATCTGTGAGGATTCGAGAACAGCAGCTCTGAGACTGGAGATGGCACAGCTGGACATGCGCTTTCATATCTCAACGTGGTAAAGCGTGCAGATCATTCATCGCTAACCTGCACCCATGCTAGTCTCTTCAATATGGATGCTGGTTTGGACAATAAACACTTTGTCACATTGAAGAGGCTCAAATGTAGTAGAGTAGAAACATTTTTCTGGTCAATCCATAACACACATTTTCCATCTAAAACACGCAAAATGGTAATCTTAAAGGGATAGTTCACCCAAAAATGAAAATTAGCCCATGATTTACTCCCTAACCCAAACCCTGAGCCCATCCGAGGTGTGTATGACACTCTTCTTTCAGACGAATCAGTTTATTAAAAAAGTCCAGCTTTATAATGGCAGTGAACGGCTGTTTCTGTCCATAAAAGTGCATCTATCCATCATAAAAGTGCTTTAAGTATGTATCTTTAAGTATGTGTGTCCAAATATTTGACTGGGTTTGTAGAATGAAACCCATCATTGAACCGATAGTGACAGAAGATAAGCTAAACTGGGAGCAGGTCATGGTCAGCACTGGTGCTCACCCTTCCCGGCGGGAACGAAGTACTTGGCTCTCTCGAAGCCGTGCTTCTCCATCCAGCGCGCGCCCTGTGTGTCGAGCCGGTCGTACAGCGGACTCGTGCGCAGCTGCCGGCCCGTCTGGAAGTCCCAGCGGGGAACCTTCAGTCCGTACAGGAGCGCTGGTGGACACACACACACACACGTCAGTGAGAGCGGCTGAGGTCATGTGAGAGAGAGCGGCTGACACTCACGCATGACCTCCATCACCCGATGGCGCAGGAACGTGCGGCTGCTCTGCAGGCTCCCGAAGCGCTTGATGTCCAGCGGCCACACGTTAGCACTGGGATAGCCGTACGTCATCCACTCCGCCAGATATCTGCGGGAAAACAAGCTGATGGGAACTGATCAAACCCAAAGATGAAGAGACGTCCAGCAGAGCTGTTGACTCACTTCCCCGCGCCGCCAGCGAACGAGAGGCCGGACGAGTTCATGCCCGCCAACACGAAGTATCCATAGATTCCCGGCGTTTCTCCCATCAGGCAGCGCATGTCCGGAGTGAAGGATTCTGGGCAGTTGACCAGCTGTTGGATCTCACAGGCCTCGAGCCCAGGCATCCGGCGCAGCAGAGCGCTCAACATGGGCTCTACGGGGAACCACAACACAACTCACATGACCATACACACGTGTGTGTTTCTGTGGGCTCTACGGGGAACCACAACAATCACAATATGACCATACGTGCGTTTCTGTGCAAACACAGTTAATGTTAATTAGAGATTCAGAGAAGTATCAGCACGAAAACATACTCATTCAAATTTCAAATAACTTAAGCACATCATAATCAGAGAAGCTGCAACTCTGGTGATGATGTAAGAGTCCCAGTCCTGTAGAGGGCAGGATCGTACCATCTATGAATGCATGCACGCCATTTACGAATCATTGAAACCATTAACATACACACGTTTAACTATCCAATCAGAAGTAACAAAGCCTTTATACACCCAGGGAAGAGTTTCGGGAAGGTCCATTTCAGTGCAAATTACAGACTAATCTACAAACATGCATGACACTAAAGCATGATAAATCAGTGTTTTGGTTTTGATGAATAGGCCGTGACCTTCGCTCGCGGTGTCGTATCCTGCGTCAGACTAGCGGCAGTGAAGTGTGTGGGTCATTATGACACAACAGACATTCCCGAGCGTGTGAAAGATGAGACGATCACAGCTCTGCTATAGTTAGCCCTCAGCGGTTGAGCAACACACAACACCAGTTCACATCAACAAGGGTTAACAAGAACAGCAAGAACTGCAATTTAGAAGATAACGTGAGTTCATTTTTGAGTCAGGGCGAGCAAAACACGAAGAGTTCAAGGAGAAGACAAGGACGGATGAAGACAGTGGAGGGGTCATAAAGAATAAAGGTCAGAGAACGAGCTGGAGATATCTTCACATACTGAGCACACACACACACACACACACCTCACTGTATGATGGCACGCACACACACCTTCCCAAAGCTAGGTGTGTGAAATTCCCCCTCACTCCTAATGTTCATAATCCCCTAGCCATGAGTTTTGCTGAGAGATATGTATGTATTGTACATTTAAAACAGTGACTTCATTTTTTGAGCCATTTCCTTTCCCGTTTCAGTTTCCTGAATAATGACGTGCTGCAGTAATGAATGTGTCTTGACTTCATCGTTGCACACATGCTCTCTTTGTTTTTGCCTGTTTACTCAATATATTATATGTTTATAAGCCTACGAGTGAGTTATCACTGCTGACCGCACCGATGAGCCTCGCAGTGTACGAGTGTGTGTGTGACATCATCTACTGTACCGAAGTGGTCCCAGTCCTCCTGCATGTTCTGGATCTCCAGCTGGTTCCGGCCCTCGGTGAAGATGGGCTTCGGGTTCTTCTCAAAGCCTCCGGACAGGATTCCCCCGTTCCAGGAGCGAGCGTAGATCCTGCCGTCGAAGTCCATCACCACTACACACACACACACACACATCAAGTCACGTCACATTTATTTATATAGTGCTTTTTACAACACAGACTGGATCAAAGCAGCTTCAGTGATAGCATGAACGTAATACAACACAGATCAATAATATTGTTGAATATTAAAACACTGTCACACACATATCACACACACTGCATTACACACACCTTCTTCACCAGCTTTTGCAGTGGGGTTAGTAATGCTCTAAAGCAGGAGTGTGTGTGTGTGTGTGTGTGTGTGTGTGTGTGTGTGTGTGTGTGTGTGTGTGTGTGTGTGTCACCTGGGCTGTCGGCTTGTGTGGGCTCGGGCAGGGGTTTAGTGAGCAGGTAGAAGTGTTCACAGCCGTGTAGAGGAACAGACACTTTGACTTCGCTGCTCTGACCCAGCTCATACGCCCACTGAAACACACACACACACACACACACACCAATCAATCACTGTACATTTACATCATAGCATAATAAAATGTTACACGTTTAGCAGTACTCAAAACATTTTCCAAATGATGATAAAACAACAACAACATATCAACATCTTTTCAACATATTTTATTTTAAAGGTACACTACGGCCCTCTAGTGGTCGAAAAGCATTCACTATCATTAGGCTTAAAGGTCCCGTTCCTCGTGATCCCATGTTTCAAACTTTATTTAGTGTGTAATGTTGTTGTTAGAGTATCTGTAAAATTATAAAGCTCAAAGCGAGATATTTTCTTGAACAGAAGTAGCCTACATCGAACGGCCCGTTTGGACTACATCCCTCCACTTCCTTCTTTAATGACGTCAGTAGGACAGTTTTTTGACTAGCGTCGTCCGCCCACAGGAACGCTCCCTCAACTCATGAACTTACTGTGTTTACTCAGCTCTTAAAGTGATTTTCTGAAGGAAAACTGAAGCTTCATCTTTTGTGTGATGTACAATAAACTTTATTAAACTCATCATCAGTATATGTTTGATCATCATTCGGTCCGAAACAGCAGGCTTTTAATAGGCTATTAATAAATAATGGATACATACAAGCAGATGACAAATACGTTATAATAACCGTAATTAAATGACTAAACTACACCTGTCCCATCTCTATACAGCACACTGACTCTGTAGGCATTATCGTCCGACTGGAAATGAACACGTTACTGAGAGTTTCTGATATTATCATCATGAGAGACTGAGCGCGAGCTCGTGAAGCTCCGCCCCCTGTGCCGGCAGCAGCAGCTCATTTGCATTTAAAGGGCACACACTCACACAGCACGTTTTTCTGAGCCCCAAAAATGACAATTTAAACATGCCGTGGTCATGCTGATCTAATAATGTTTATGGATGCGTCAGTATATTGATGTTTTATCATGACTGTGGTGTGAAGCAAGTGCTAAAGAGAGACACATATCAGCGCCATGCGTGAGTTTTTTGCATTTAGGATAATGTAAGCACACAATTGAAATAACACTGTGCGAGTGGTTTTTGGATATTTTGATACAAAATTCTAACGCAAAACTACTCGTCTGATCTAGGATCTACAATATAGCACTTATTACGGTTTACCATAGTGAGTCAGGGTGACACAAAAACACGTTTTGGGAGAAGGATTGATGATGCATCGACTCATTATTTATATTTTGAACAAAAAAAAGTTACATAGTGTCCCTTTAAAGAGTTATATTCCTTTATAGAGTTAGTAGTATAATAGTTCATATATAGTAACATTACATTTCAATTAGTATTGATAAAACACAAAACAATTAAGACTGAATAAAAAATAGCAATAAAATAGAGTGTGTGTGTGTGTGTGTGTGTGGAGCCCGTGCAGAGACGCACCTGTCCGGCACAGTTGACGAAGTACTCGCACTGGATGGCTCCGCGGTCCGTCTCCACCGCCGTCACGTGCCCGTCCTTCACCAGGACCTGGTTCACACTGGTGTGTTCGTAAATCTGCACGCCTGACACACGAGAGAGAGACCAATGAAACGCCAGGTAACGATTGTGAGACTGCGATGCTGTGTTTGGCGTTAGTCGTACCGTGAGCCGCCGCCGCCACCGCGAGCGCGTGATTAACATCCGGCGGAGAGACCACACTGTCCCCGGGCAGATGAAGAGCTCCCACCAGATCATGGATATTCACCAGCGGGTGGAGCCCAGACACATCTTTGGGCTTGATGACATCACAGCTCACGCCTAGAACCCTACACACACACACACACACACACACACACACACACACAGATCAACCTGTGCTAAAGAGTGGCCACATTTACTGTTGCTCCATAACTTTCATGTAGTTATTTCATTGGGAACTGCCAGAATGAAGAACATACTTCCAGAAGAGTAAGGTCAGAGTAAGGTCAGAGTAAGGTCAGAGTAAGGTCAGAGTACAGTGATAGTAAAGTCAGTGAAGTGAGAGTAAATGATGCCAGGAAGGTCACAGAGGTCATCCAGAACACATATAGGGGTCAGAGAGAAACAGAAAGCCTCTCACTTCAGCCTGGACGCCAGACGCTTCAACGACAGGAACCGATCCTGATTCTGAGCCAAACACAGAGAGCCGGTCCGAACGAAACCTGGAAAACACACACAAATGCCAAAGCCGATAACTTTATAACACGAAGCACATGTGAAACGTGTTTGGCGCTCCGGGAAGCGATGGATCATGGAGTGATGGTGTATCTCACCTGTTTTAACGCCCGTCTCTTCCTCCAAACGCTCATAGAGAGTGTTCGAATAATCTGCCATTTTACTCTCAATAGAAAGAGGTTTGGCAACGCTGACTATTCCTGCACAGAAGCGCGTCGTACCGGCTCCGAGTCTACAACACACACACACACACACACACACACACACACACACACACACAGGTAATGACATTATTAATGATAAATTATGGCTTAAGTCAGAAATGATGGATGGGTGTATGGATGGATGGATGGGTACATTGATTGATGGATGGATGGATGTATGGATGTGTGGATGGATGGATGGGTGTGTGGATGGATGGATGGATGGATGGATGGATGTATGTATGTATGTATGGATGGATGGGTGGATGTATGGATGGGTGGGTGTGTGGATGGATGGATGTATGTATGTATGTATGGATGGATGGATGGATGGATGTATGATGGGTGGGTGTGTGGATGGATGGATGGATGGATGGATGGGTGGATGTATGGATGGGTGGATGGTTGGATGGATGGATGTATGTATGTATGTATGGATGGATGGATGGATGGATGTATGATGGGTGGGTGTGTGGATGGATGGATGGATGGATGGATGGGTGGATGTATGGATGGGTGGATGTATGATGGGTGGGTGTGTGGATGGATGGATGGATGGATGGATGGGTGGATGGATGGGTGGATGGATGGGTGGATGTATGTATGGATGTGTGGATGGATGGATGGATGGATGGGTGTGTGGATGGATGGATGGATGGATGGATGGATGGATGGATGGATGTATGTATGTATGTATGGATGGATGGATGGGTGGATGTATGGATGGATGGATGGTTGGATGGATGGATGTATGTATGTATGTATGTATGGATGGATGGATGGATGTATGATGGGTGGGTGTGTGGATGGATGGATGGATGGATGGATGGGTGGATGTATGGATGGGTGGATGTATGATGGGTGGGTGTGTGGATGGATGGATGGATGGATGGATGGGTGGATGGATGGGTGGATGGGTGGATGTATGTATGGATGTGTGGATGGATGGATGGATGGATGGGTGTGTGGATGGATGGATGGATGGATGGATGGATGGATGGATGTATGTATGTATGTATGGATGGATGGATGGATGGATGGGTGGATGTATGTATGGATGTGTGGATGGATGGATGGATGGGTGTGTGGATGGATGGATGGATGGATGGATGGATGTATGGATGGATGGATGGTTGGATGGATGGATGGATGTATGTATGTATGGATGGATGGATGGGTGGATGTATGGATGGGTGGGTGTGTGGATGGATGGATGTATGTATGTATGTATGGATGGATGGATGGATGGATGGATGGATGTATGGATGGGTGGATGTATGATGGGTGGGTGGATGGATGGGTGTGTGGATGGATGGATGGGTGGATGGATGGATGGGTGGGTGGATGGATGGGTGTGTGGATGGATGGATGGGTTGATGGGTGGATGGATGGATGGGTGGATGGATGGGTGTGTGGATGGATGGATGGGTGGATGGATGGATGGATGGGTGGATGTATGGATGGATGGATGGATGATCACCTGCCCTGCTCCAGGAGCACGATCTCCCTCCAGCCCAGTCGGGACAGGTGATAGGCCACTGATGTTCCCACGACTCCGCCTCCACAGATGATGACACGCGCGTGCGCAGGAAGAGTAGCGGGAGGATCCGAGCTGAAGAACCGGCCCGATCTCTGACCAGCGGGTCGGACTCCGGCATCACAGAACCAGCGGGGCAGGAGGACAGGGGACAGAGTCCGGGCGCTCCACGCACCGCTGCGCATGGCTCTGCACCTTCACACACACACAACACACACACACACACACAACACACACAACACACACAACATGATGACAAACATTAACATTCAGTGATATTGTTGATCTGACTGCACTGACACGATCAGAAGAACACAGATCCATCGCGCCAAACACAGCATTTCACATGTGCTTCGTGTTATAAAGTTATCGGCTTTGGCATTTGTGTGTGTTTTCCAGGTTTCGCTCTCTGTGTTTGGCTCAGAATCAGGATCGGTTCCTGTCGTTGAAGCGTCTGGCGTCCAGGCTGAAGTGAGAGGCTTTCTGTTTCTCTCTGACCCCTATATGTGTTCTGGATGACCTCTGTGACCTTCCTGGCGTCATTTACTCTCACTTTACTCTGACCTTACTCTGGATCTCAGGGCCCGATGTGTGAAACATCGTCCGGATGTGTGTGACCTGTGTGAGTGAAACATCGTCCGGTCGGGTGTGTGTGACGCATCGTGCGGGTTTTATGTGACAGGTGTGTGTGATACATTGTCCGTTGCGTGACGGGTGTGTGTGACATCAGTGCTTTGGAGGTCAGGTCAGGCTAAACCCAACTACTCACAAACTTAAAACTTTTACAGGACGAGCCCTGCTCTTCACACGCAAATTTCAATGATTATTAAGGTCTTTTTATGTAACTGTTTATATATATAACCTGCAAAACATTCACACGCATATGACAGATTAAGATCTGAAGATCAAATAATTATCGCAAACAATAACTTTACACTTAATGTTATACAGAATTGTTTAATTTAAAACATCATTATGTATCTGTTTCTGTGTTGTTTCTACTACTTTCTACATATGGGAGCTCAAAAACAACTACACAAAAGACAGAAAATAAACAAACAACTATTACTAGCTCATTAATAATAATCAATTCACTGTATTTTGTTTAATCATGTGTTATCATGTTTAAGCTTATATATTGTTGTTAATTGACATGTAGCCGTTAGCTTGAGGCCTCCGAGGTTATTCTTCGAGTAAAAGAAGATAAAACAGGTTCATATTTCTCCTTAAATGTCCTGACAGCTCCAAGTGTCCTCAAATTATTAATATGCCCTCGTATACAGTAGGCTAAAGTGAATCTGCTGAACGTCAAACTGAAGATTCAGAGTCAAACTCTACAGCATTCGAGCTAAAACACAAATACATCTCGTAAAAGTGCGTGTAATCACTAATGGAGACACATACCTGCTGAAAGCGGTTATATGAGCTCAGATCTGGTCAGATTTACTCATCTGATCTGCGGGACAGGAGCCAGGAGTAACTCGACCACAGCTGCGGACTCGGAGTCTGGCCACACTGCGCATGCGCGGAACAACAGCCTGCCGGATGATTGACAGCTCTGAATAAAATAAGGGGGGAAAACTTTTTCTCATTATTATCATGTTATAAAACACACAAACACTCAACAAAAGCATCTCTCTCCGATGAAGATCCGTGACTCCTGACCTTTAAGTGCATATAAACAGTCTTACAAACTACACATATTCAAAGGTTTACAGCGTGTATCCTGTATTTACACACAATTTACAAATGTCTGATTTTGTAGCCTATTTATCCTTCATAAACAATTGAATATTTATTTTAAAAAGAAAACTTTTTCCCACAGACACATATTAAGAGACTTTATTCCAAAATACGTTCACAATTCCGGACGGAAAAGCTAATTTATGGTTCATTCGTTTGACAATCGAGTTTTCAGCGGATTGTTTCATATATCCTCTGCGGTGGCACTGCAGTGTTTCTTCCGGGCCACTGGAGGCGTTGTCGAACAGACTTACTGCAGTGTTTCTTCCGGGCCGCTGGAGGCGCAGTCGCACAGACTCACCGACGACTCTGAGCTTCTGCTGCTAATCTGAGCTCTTCAGCGGATTCATGCGACATATCTCGCTATAAACACCTTTTCTCTTCATTTCTGGCTGTTCGTGTGTTTAAAGTGAGCGCCATGTCCTACAACTACGTGGTCACCGCGCAGAAACCCACGGCAGTGAACGCCTGCGTCACGGGTGAGTGTGTGTTGATCTCCCGCGCGCCAATGCGCGTGCACCAGGCCTCAGAAAATACACACTGATCAACGGAATTGATTGCTTTAGTTCAGATCTGACACTGTTATCATCACATGTTTATTAATGAAATACACTCGTTGTGTCTAGATTTGTAAATATGAAAAATGTTCATCTCTGCTGCGCGTGTGACTGTCAGACTGACGATCATATTTACTGCTTTTAAAAACATCCCCGTGTTTCACACTAGTTAGTCATCACTGCAGATTAAATGTGTTTTACTGTAATCATCATTGCAGAGTAAATGTGTTTTACTGTAATCATCACTGCAGATTAAATGTGTTTTACTGTAATCATCACTGCAGATTAAATGTGTTTTACTGTAATCATCACTGCAGATTAAATGTGTTTTACTGTAATCATCACTGCAGATTCACGAGTCTCGAGCTCATGCTGCTGACAGAGGCACTTATGGTTGGATGATTATTAGTTCCGGTGGTGCTTGTTGGCTGGTTAGTTAAGGCTGGTTATATGTTGTCCTCTGACTGCTGGTTAGTTAGGGTGGTTAGTTTAGGCTTGTTATATATTGTCCTCTGACTGCTGGTTAGTTAGGCTGGTTAGTTAAGGGTGGTGAGATGTGGACTTTTGTGACCTTAGGGTTAGTTGGGGCTGGTTGTATGTTGACTGATGTTGCTGTATATGTTGTGATTGCAGGCCACTTCACGTCGGCGGAGGACCTGAACCTGCTGATCGCCAAGAACACGCGTCTGGAGATCTACGTGGTGACGGCGGAGGGTCTGCGGCCCGTGAAGGAGGTCGGCATGTACGGCAAGATCGCGGTGATGGAACTCTTCAGACCCAAGGTGTGCAGAAGCGAAACACTGATGATCTCTGTGCTTCACTGGCTGTGGTCTGAGGCCAGTGTTCTCCAGCTCGTGTGCAGACGTGTGTTTCTGTATAAATCATTCACATCTGTGTGTTGTGTTTGTGTGAAGGGAGAGAGCAAAGATCTTCTGTTCATTCTGACTGCGAAGTACAATGCCTGTATCCTGGAGTACAAGCAGAGCGGAGATAGCATCGACATAATCACCCGCGCACACGGCAACGTGCAGGTACCACACACACACACACACACACACACCCTGGTGCAGACACTCCATCAGCCTGACACACACACACTCTAACACACACCTGTTTACCCAGGACCGCATCGGCCGCCCGTCGGAGACCGGGATCATCGGGATCGTGGACCCGGAGTGCCGCATGATCGGCTTGCGTCTGTACGACGGGCTGTTCAAGGTGATTCCTCTCGACCGCGAGAACCGAGAGCTCAAGGCCTTCAACATCCGGCTCGAGGAACTGCAGGTCATCGACGTCCAGTTCCTGTACGCCTGCCCCGCGCCCACCGTCTGCTTCATATACCAGGTGTGTGTGTGTGTGTGTGGAGCCCCACGCCCACCGTCTGCTTGATATAGTGTGTGTGTGTGTGTGTCCCAGGACCCTCAGGGCCGGCACGTGAAGACGTACGAGGTGTCTCTGCGAGAGAAGGAGTTCAACAAGGGCCCCTGGAAGCAGGAGAACGTAGAGGCAGAGGCTTCGATGGTCATCCCAGGTGAGATGCTAACTAGTGCTTGATTAGCTTCTCCAGCGCTGAGGAAATGTCTTCAGTTCCCTGGCATAACCACGGTTCTCTAACATGACATCGATTCCCTGGCGTAACCACGGTTCCCTAGCGTAACCACGGTTCTCTAACATGACATCGATTCCCTGGCGTAACCACGGTTCTCTAACATGACATCGATTCCCTGGCGTAACCACGGTTCCCTAGCGTAACCACGGTTCTCTAACATGACATCGATTCCCTGGCGTAACCACGGTTCCCTAGCGTAACCACGGTTCTCTAACATGACATCGGTTCCCTGGCGTAACCACGGTTCTCTAACATGACATCGATTCCCTGGCGTAACCACGGTTCCCTAGCGTAACCACGGTTCTCTAACATGACATCGATTCCCTGGCGTAACCACGGTTCTCTAACATGACATCGATTCCCTGGCGTAACCACGGTTCCCTAGCGTAACCACGGTTCTCTAACATGACATCGATTCCCTGGCGTAACCACGGTTCCCTAGCGTAACCACGGTTCTCTAACATGACATCGGTTCCCTGGCGTAACCACGGTTCCCTAGCATGACATTGGTTCCCCAGTGTCGGTTCCCTTTCAGTTGATCCTCCAGAACGCGAGAGGTGGGTTAGCCCGCTGCTCTGACGCAGGGTTAGCCTGGAGGGGGCGTTCACCCAAAAATAATAATTCTGTAGGTTTGAAATCTTACCTTTTTAAAACGTGTTCTTAACAAACTGTAAATGATCTGTGGTGAACTACTAGTCTGTCATAGTTATGCATATATAATAATCGTCTGTGTGTTTTGAACACTGTATCTAAAGTGTGTGTGTGTGTGTGTTTCAGTGCCTGAGCCGTTTGGCGGCGCTATAATCATCGGACAGGAGTCCATCACGTATCACAACGGGGACAAATACTTCGCCATCGCTCCTCCCACCATCAAGGTTTGACCATCTCTGTGTGTTTCAGGCTGTGGTGTGTGTGTGTGTGTGCGTGTGTGTGTGTGTGTGTGTGTGTGCGTATGTGTGTGTGGTGTAAACCGTATGTTATGTGTGAACCCACAGCAGAGCACCATCGTGTGCCATAACCGTGTGGACCCGAACGGATCCCGGTTCCTGCTGGGCGATATGGAGGGCCGGCTGTTCATGCTGTTGCTGGAGAAGGAGGAGCTGATGGACGGAGCGGTGGTGCTCAAAGACCTGCGGGTGGAGCTTCTGGGAGAGGTGACACACACACTCTCACACACACACACACACACACTCACTCACAGTACAGTACCTTCTTCAGCACGTGTGTGTGTGTGTTCTAGACCTCGATCGCAGAGTGCCTGACGTATCTGGATAACGGTGTAGTGTTCGTGGGATCCAGACTGGGAGATTCTCAGCTAGTGAAGGTCGGTGATCTTGCAGAGGAGTTATTGTTCTGTGATAATGGCGTGTTCTCTAAGGCCAGCGTTTTGTGTGTGTGTGTGTGTGTGTGTGTGTGCGCAGCTGAATGTGGACAGTAACGACCAGGGTTCATATGTGGCAGTGATGGAGACCTTCACTAACCTGGGCCCCATAGTGGACATGTGTGTGGTGGACCTGGAGAGGCAAGGCCAGGGTCAGGTGAGTTCACCACACCATCATCATCACCACACCATCATCACCACCATCACGCCGTCATCACCACGCCGGCATCACCACCATCACATCACCACCACACCGTCGTCATCACCACACCACCATACCGTCATCATCACCACACCGTCATCACCACACCGTCATCACCACACCACCATACCGTCATCATCACCACACCGTCATCACCACCACACCGTCGTCATCACCACACCGTCATCATCACCACACCACCATACCGTCATCATCACCACACCGTCATCACCACACCACCATACCGTCATCATCACCACACCGTCATCACCACCACACCGTCGTCACCACCACACCGTCGTCATCACCACACCGTCATCATCACCACACCACCATCACCACACCATCACGTCATCACCACACCGTCATCACCACACCACCATACCGTCACCACCACCACACCGTCGTCATCACCACACCGTCGTCATCACCACACCGTCGTCATCACCACACCGTCGTCATCACCACACCGTCGTCATCACCACACCGTCATCACCACACCGTCATCACCACACCGTCATCACCACACCGTCACCACAGTCATCACCACACCGTCATCACATGATCATAAATCATTTAAATCATGGAGGTGTGACGGACGGGTTTCTCGGCTTCCATCTCTGTGAGGCTGAAAAGGATCACCTGATTCTCTTACACTGATCACATGTCAGTCATGTTTGCCCTTTGATTAGTAAAGCAGTGTTTCATCAGCTAGGGTGTGTGTGTGTGTGTGTGTGTTCCTGCAGTTAGTGACGTGCTCCGGAGCATTTAAGGAAGGTTCTCTGAGGATTATCCGTAACGGTATCGGGATCCATGAGCACGCCAGTATCGACCTGCCCGGGATCAAAGGTCAGATCTCCGCTGTCGATTTCCACTGCTAATAATCACAATATGTCTCTATATTCTTCCGTTCTTTTTTTCTGCTGTATGTGTTGATGTTTGAGACGTGTAACGTGTTGATTTAAGGGAACAGAAACTGCACGGTCATATTTCTATATCAGTTTCAAAAATGATTGGGACTTTCA